ATACAAAAATTTTCCGTGAAGCCAAAAAATTTTCCGGATATCTTAAATTTTCGCCATTTCTTCAAAATATTTTTCTAAATTCCAAAAATTTCCCAAAATTTTTATAAATATAAACTATAAATTACCTGAATCTTGTGATTTTCCTACAAAAAGCATCGTTGGAAATGTGATTTATCACGTATTATTTTACAACTAAAAGGGCACTTCTGCCCCCCCTAGCAAAAGGCAAGGGGGGCAGCCGCCCCCCCTGCCCCCCAGTTCCGGCGTCCCTGGCCATATAAATCTAAATTGTTGGGGTCAAGCATTGGCCGCGGTGTAGAATATATAAAGCTTTGGTTACGCTTACATATAACCTTTTCTATATAGTTCTTCAGTTGTTGCAGAAAGGTGCTGATCCAAATCATATGGACAGGGAAGGTCGAACAGCTTTGATTGCAGCTGCTCATACTGGTTGTGTCAAAACTGTTGAAGTGTTGTTAGATCATGAAGCAAGTGTGAATCATGCTGATAGTGATGGAAGAACAGCATTGGCCGTGTGTATTCTCTCAGAATTCTTGAAGAATCATCTTGGTAAGAATTTCTTCACTTCCTGTCAGAAAATTGTCTTTATTTTGTTTCGTTATAATTCACTATATATATATATATATATATATATATATATATATATATATATATATATATATATATATATATATATATATATATATATATATATATATATCAATATAGAAAGCGGGAAGAGAGAGAGGGACACCCGCGCGAGAGCACAAATCCGTGAATTATTACCGATGCAACTCAGATTCTTTATCAGCACTACACCAGATAGTTTAACAGCATTCTAGAAATTTATTTATACTGATTATTGTTATAAAGAGATCATCGGTAAAGAGATCATCGTTTATCATGTTAACTATATTTAATATTAAACCTTTCCAAAAAAACCTTTGCATTCCCATACACAGAGTCCTTGGTTGTGAATCCGGGGTTTTTCTATTTCGAGTCCGGGTTTTCAAAAGTCAAGTCCGGGTTTTTCTCGAGTCCTGATTTTCTTCGTCCCGTCCGGTTTCGAAGCCATTACTGTCGTTCTAATTGAAGTGTTCCTCAAATATTGATTCAATACATTACCTCGGGCTGACCAATTCATTTCATCAAGTTCCTCGAGATATTCATACACTCGAGATATTCAAGTGTATGAATATCTCGAGGAACTTGATGAAAGGAATTGGTCAGCCTGAGGTAATGTATTGAATCAATATTTGAGGAACGACAGTAAGATAGATTGCATTTATCTGAAGTCACGTGACCACAAATCAGCCAATCACGTGCCGTAGTATAATATAAACAATACACAGATATAGCCAATTTCTCTGTTAAATTTTGTGGTAGCTTTTCTGACAATGCCTTTTGAGAAATCTGGAGATGGAAGTTCAGGTGTGCAGCTCCTGAAACAAAGGTTATCTAGCTCGGAAACAGAGCAAGGAAGAAGGCATGGTTTAAGTTTTAAACCTCGACCAGATGACGTGTTCGTCGTGACTCCACCTAAATGCGGCACAACATGGATGCAACAGATTCTACATCAGTTACGTAGTGGTGGCGATATGTCATTTGATGAGATTTCCGATGTGGTCCCTTATATCGAGATGGCTTATGATATCGAAATAAACCTCGACGCTGAACACCACTATCAACCACGGTAAGCTTCACTGATTTGAAAAGTAGCGAACTGGATAGTTGACATTTGACATTTTTACATTAACAAAATTGACAAAATTTGAAAAAACTGACAAAATTCCTGGGCAAAATTCTCCCACCTTCGGGATGAAAATTGTATAATCCTGAAGTATTTGGTTTTTGGTACACTCTATATGTCAGGTGATAGGGAATACTCATAATAAGGAACATATTTTATACCATATATTAAAAATAGGTACGCGACCGCGTACATGTATCTGCGCATTAAAGGTCCAGACACGCTGGACGCGATTCGACAATGCGACGCGATTTTTCGATTTTCACTGACCGTTAAATTTAATCCAAGTTTATATTTTCCAAATATTTAGAAGCGCTATAACATTCTAAGTTACTTGGTCTACATATGTTTGTAACTGATTTGCTCTCATTGGCTGTTTTTCAAACTAATTATACTGAAAAATCGCGTCGCGTTGTCGAAGCGCGTCCGGTGCGTCTGAATCTTAAGGTCTGATTCCACGACGGCGAAATTCGTCGCGAGAGCTTGTGTCTGCGAAATACGGTGGTTGCACATGAGCGATTGTATTGAATTGTCCCACTTTGTCCGCTTTCGCAGTAAGTAGAAATGTTTCGCATTCATTGATGGTGCATTCTCGAAATGACATTTTTACAGCAATTGTGCGAAATTGTGCTAGTTGAAATTACATGCCTGCTTCAGATGTAATATTTACATTTAACTAGTGACTTCTAAATTAAGAGGACGAGAACCATTTATATCCCGAATCACGGCAACTGATAACAATCATACAAAAATGTTTCTTTTTATCTGGAGCTAAATATCTGCTATTCATACAGTTCATTACTTTTAAGAACAATTTAAAGAAAATAATTAATTAAGGCTGTAAAATGTGTGGATTTATTAAAGACGTGGGATTAGACGTCTGTACATGGAGTCATGAGCTAATAATAGTTTCTGACATTTAAAACAACAGGGCTACGTTTATCCTATGCTTTGTTTTCATAGTTTAGCCTAGTTTCAGAGGCCTCCATTAAATAACAGTCAAGATATATACGCAAATATAATTTGCGTGTCTATTTAAAATTTGTAATTGTTTCGTGAAGATTCAACCATAAAACAATTGCCGGAAATACAGGTCCTGTTTATAAAAACTCAGGGAAAACCCGTGCGGTATGAAATGCATGGCGTAAACATGTCAATCAAATATCTATAAATATGACGTTTTATAATTGCACAGTACATCGTGTACGTTCTTGTTGTAGAACTTGTGTTGCTCCAAATCGAGTATGAAGTAAAATCAGGAGCATATTGTCACAGGCTAATTTTGTATTTTAATACCTCTGGAAATATCAAGGCTTTGGTACCCCTATCTATCACAAAACTGAGTAACAAATCCAAAACGAAGTATGAGGACTAATATTTTTATATATATCATTTCACAGATTAAAAGTATTATTCAAGAAATATGTCCATTTTGATCTTAACGTGATACAAAAATACTAAATAACATGCAAAATTCAGTGCCAAAGAGGGATTTATTTTGCGGTAGTTAAATATGTAAACATATGTTCTCAAACTGGCAGAGTTTAATACCAATTAAAGCTCGCAATGCTATATATTTGGTTTGATACGAAGATAAAATAGTAAATACTCATAATAATTACAATATGTCCATGACCTTACTCAAAAATTTAGATTATTAAATCACATAATGGAACAACTTGCAATTTGCTACGCTCACTCGTTAGCAATAGTTCTCTTCAACACTCGAAATAAATTACATATTTCCGCACAACCATGTATAAATATCCTCTATACATTCCAGTTTATCTTTAATTTGTCAAGTGGTAGGCACAATATTAGTCCTTTTGATTTGTTATTCCCTTTCCCCAACACGGGAGTGATAGGAGCTTGAAAAAATGACAGTTGAATACTTGCGTGTAATTTGCTCGGAGCAATTTGCAATCAACATTGCAAGATTGATTGCAATGTTGCAATACTCATGGGAACAGAACATCCGGTTTGACTGTAAGAGTTATATCAAAAAGACTGCTATAGAAGAAGATTTTATCAAAATAAAGTCAGGATAAAGTCTATTAATAGTTTAATACCACGATTACTAATGATTACTACTCTTGAAAGCTTTTCGAAAGACGCCATCTTGTTTTAAAGCTGTTCTAGCCTGCGAACAGGCCTTCAAAACAAGGTTGACGGACTTAACAACTTAACTTAACTTACTTAACTTTACTTTACTTTACTTTACTTTACTTTACTGACTGACGCGATAGCAATATATCTGCGCTACGCGCAGATACAAAAATGACACGAATACCTTCATTGTTATTAAAAAGTTAATATAATGAACTTTTCAAAATAACATAATGTGAACTTTTACCTATACTGTAAATATAAATTGATATTAATGTCAGGGCCGCCGAGAGGGGCAAATTGCCCCGAGGTGCTGGGGGCCCCCGAAAAATTTTTGTTGGGCAACTTATGACATTTTTCATTGTTCTCAGTTTAAGAAATGTTTCTTATATTTTGTTACTTTTAGAAAATTTTTAGACATAAAATTCTACTATATTATATTACCTATATTATGTATTTAAAAAATAGAAAATTCTGTATGCACAACATAAGTTTTATTTTCTGTCATTCTTATACACAACTATGTTTAGTTCTGATTGCACAGCAATGTGTTGTGGCGAATAGAGTTTCTCACAAAGCCGTATTATAACACTTTCCACTTCACAATCAATATTATGATCTAACAAACAATTTGTTCAAGTCCATTGATTTCTTCATGTACATTTAATACTGATCCAAGCACAGGCTGTCATGCAAATGCCACCAGAGATCCATCGTATTGGAATCTGTAAAAGGAAAACTTTATTTATTGAAAATATAATCATAATTAGTAAATTATACCCTATAAAAAACTAGAACAATGGACTTGCATCCTAAACTGAGACACTGCTCAGTCAGTTATAAGGGACTATTAACTCTTGATGTAAAAACAGTTTTTAATTAATATTTAACAATTATTGAATGAGGTTGAGCACAATATGAAGAATTATGAAGCCCAAAGTTTGCCGTTATCAACCGAAGCCAAAGGCTGAGGTTGATAACGCCAAACTGAGGGATTGATAATTCTTCATATTGTGTGCGAAAACCAAATTCAATAATACTTTTATTATTTATTTAAAAAATTCAAAACAAACGGAAGCCATTTGTATTTTATCTGTATAAAGAAAAAAACAATTCCTAGTTAGTCCTTCGGCAGCTGTCGTCGTCGTCATCATATCAATGGTGTCAGCGAGTCGATATGATTCTTGCGGGGTCTGAAATTTAACTATCTTTTCAGTATCCAACTGGGATACCAGGATTCAAAGTTTAGTATCCGCCCTGAGAATGCAGTATCCCACTTCTGGATACTGGTTACCATAAGTATTATACCCTGTCCCATCCAATAACTCTCGCTGTTACAAATTACAATAACAACAGGAGATTCAACAGTCAAGTTGTCAAGAACTAGACAATTCATTAATACACAAAAATGCACATTATATGAGGAAAGACTTGGGTGGCAAATTCATAGACAGTATTCAAAAGCTACAGTATCAATGTTTGAAATTTTCTTAGTATCCAATTGGGATATAAGTCATTCACAGTTTGGTATCCAAAGCCAAATTTTAGTATCCCGTGGATATCGGGATACTGCAAATTTTCAGACCCTGTAAATCTTATCGTCATAGTAATATGGCGCAAACATATCCAAATTTTTTTCATGTTGACTCTTTGACGTCATTTTGCTAATATGAATGTGAAAAATCCATATTTGGTTAACCACTGAGTTGATATGACAATTTCACAGTTGGCTGTTAGCCAATCAGAAACCAGAAATTTTTTAAATAAATAATAATAAGACTTATCCTTTATATATAAGATAATGTCCATAGTTTATTGTCATAATCACCATGAATTACAAAGACTGTTCATATTGGTACAAAGTAATGCAGGGTGTAATATGTAGTAGCAGGGTGTAATATCTGGCAGTAATCAAACCTATTGTCCTGCGATTCCGGACCTCAGTTGGGCAGAGCACTGTTCCGGAAGCACAGGGCCGTAGGTTCAATTCCTGGTCGAAGATTTAGTGTTACATTTTTCACAATCGTTCCTGGTTATAGGTCTTAATTCAATAGTATCTATATATTGGATTATCCACCAAACCCAGTAATTCTAATCGAACCAAGTGAAGTGCAAAGTTGTAATATGTATAGTATGTTAAGCAGAGACATGGCCGTGGGCAGAGAGTAGGGATATGCTGGATTGGGTTACTGGCATCCGGCAAAATATAGGCCATCCATGCCACAGATATTTATGCTTAATATATAAAGTGATAAAACACATATTAAATAAACTATGGACTATTGTTAGCAGGGTTCGAAATAACGGTTCGTGATTCGTGAATCACGAATCAATTTTCATTTTTCACGAACCCAATTTCATAGAAATTGATCAAAATCACGAATCAAAAGTCTCTCAAATTGATAAAAAAATACAATAATAAATTTGTAAATGTGATGAAGAATCATATATTCTGAAGATATTGTTGTTAGATTGTACTTATAAAAAACGAGTATAATTCCACCCAAAATTCTATTTCTTTGCGAGTTTGCGATGTATATTATATTTTTGAAAATTGCAGTGCTTCCACTTTAAAAAAACGTCCAATTAGAGAAAATCCCTTGAAAATTCTTTAAAATTTCCTTAAAGCTAGATTACAGTCCATTCTGCGCATGTGCGGGCTTTGTTTACATTTTTTGTTTTGGTTTGGATCCACTTCAATTGTATAATATGAAGTATAGCGGCTATGCACTAAATAAATGGAGTCCGAGTCAGGAGTGGAGTTGTTAATTTTTTTAAAATTGTCTTCTGAAAGACAAGCAATTAAATATTTTGAAAGATCATCAATGGAAGATATATTGTTGATCAATTTGGCATTTGTTTTTGTGTGCCTCGTTGATGAAACATTCAGAAGAGACCGACACAGCCGAGCCAAAGGTGCGAGTCCGCACTCATTGTGTTGATTATATATTTATTAAATGTTCGGCATTGTAAAATAAACTTTGGAAGTGTCAAAGTAATCATGAATCTTTCCTTGGGGTATTTGTTCGTCCAAACACATTGCCAGAGTCATTGTTGCTGTCATGGCAGAAGCACTCGGAGAAAGCTTTTTGCTGGAAGAATTGGAAACGATATGTTCATGTCGCGGCTTGCGCCAGCTTCTGTCTTCGATAGAGAGGGCGAAATTCTTTGCTCAAGCACGTGCCACGAAGAGGATTTTGATACATGTATGAACAATCGAAGGACAGATGGTGAGTTTGTATTATAGCTATTTATAGTTATGTACTGTTCGTTATAAACGGTGCTTCACATGTAATCTTATTGTATTCATTCATTAGTTTATATATGTTTCGTTAATTTATACGCAAAAAAATGGCCTGAGCAATGGTTCATTTGAGAATATGCAATGTTGTTCACTGGGATAGTTCACTCAAAGGATAATGATTATCTAACAATAGCTGGGTAAACTTCGTTTACATATTTTGATACTTTGCCTGCCAAGAATATACGCAGACATACATTTCTGAAAGCTTTAACCAATGGCTTTAACACACATGATTTGTTTTATTAAAAACCCCACATAATTATGCATATCCTTGCCGGGTAAAATATCAAATTATGTGAAAAAAGGTTTACCTGTCTATATACAAGTCTACATTGGTGTGAAAATGCAGTAATTTGGTGGTAAGAAATATCTGTGTTTCACTGTGCTTGAGTCTTTGCATTTAATTAATGATAAATATATTCATTTCAGAATATGGTGGAAGCAATGGATTTAAATGCCCTTTGAAGAGCATTTGCGTTAGAGTTTATGCAGCGTCAGCCAGCTGCATTTGTCAATTTGGTAAATGGCAAATGTGGATGCTGTGTTGCAATGCCAACACAATTGGAAAACAAATGCTGTACACAAACAAGACAGCCTTGCATAACCCTAGCCCTCTCTTCCCACAGTTAGTACTTGATGGAAATGTTCGATCTGGACCTGGCCATGCATTAGATACCCTGGTTGCAGAGGTTTATTTTTATTATTTTCAATGTGAAGGGAAGAGGAAAAATAAACCTCTGGTTGAATGCGGCAATTGATTCATCGAGCTGCGCCAATCAGTTTGAATTAGGGTCAGATCCTGACTCTGTCTTCTGGTTGGATGATTGTATTAAAGCTCTCTGATTGATTCAAATAAAACATCTATAAACAATCAGAGAGCTTTAATACAATCATCCAACCCTAATTCAAAGTGATTGGCGCGGCTCGATGAATCAATTGCCGTTTTCAACCAGAGGTTTATTTTAAACCGCTGGAACCAGGGTATGCATTAGAGGGATCATTGAGGGAAACTTTATAATTCATTAATCCATTTTACTGCAATTATCTCCCCATGACAGGGAGGATCATTTTAAATATTTTGAAAGAACTTGGGTAATTCACACCTGTTAAGGCCTGTTCACACAAGCGATTTTAAACTTTGATGTTCTCCTTTTGGCATATGTGTCTTAGCAAAATTTCAGGAAACATTACTTTGCGTGGCTTGATTATTCACTCCAACACATACACCAAAAGAAGAAAATTGCAGTTCAAAATTGCTTCAAACTTATTTTAAGCTTTCTCTGTCTCCCACATCAAATTTTGCTAACAAATAAAAGCCTTTATCATGTTAATGCGTTAAATCTTTATGAACAGTAATATTTCATTTTATAAAAGACAAGTTATCAAATGCATTGGATGTTCAAGCACAACATTTGGTATTGACATTGATTTTTTTATTCTTTAAAATTACTCCTTGCTCCTTACTTCAGTCCTGAAAAGTGTATTGCTGTGCACCGAAGATCAATGAATCCAATATGGACAGCCTGACTCACTATTGGGGTCCGGGGGTTTGTAAGAGTTCCTTCTCCTAGGTGAACTGCCTTTCAGGGATTATGAGCTCCACCTAACCAGAGCACTTTGTTTTAAGTGCCAGACACTTGTCTACATTGATCAGTTGAATCTAGACTGATGGGTTTCAACAAGTTCTTTGACTGAAGGAGGAGGAACAGGGGTTATGTTAGAAGTGATTTGCCTTCGGTCATCACTTGCAACACCAATCCCCATACCTAAAGAAGACTTATAATTAGTTTTATTCCCGTTTAAATGCACATTAGTGCCTGCTGACCAATGTGTTTTAAAAACACTTAAATAGCTTTTTTCAAGCCACATTTTGATTTTGTTGATGTTCATGCAAATCAAAATTTGGCTTAAGTGCTCTTAAAACACGTCAATCAGCAGGTGCTACTGTGCCCTTAACATGCCTACAGAATGATCAATATATTTGTTTGAAATGTGATATAAAGAATATGGAATTTCATAATGAAAGCTAAAAGTCACTTTTTTTCTCACTAGGATTCCGGAAAGCATAAAATGTTATACATACCTTCATTATAAGTTGTAGGATGTAATAGTACTGCTTAGGAGAATCTTTAAGAATCTTTATATGGCTCCATTGCTGTTTCCCCTTTCTGAGCATATACTGCATGGCAATGGCTCATGTCTGCATTGTATTGTTTCATCTGGCTGCTGATCCGTCTGGGTTTCCACAGCGCTATAAGTGCACAATAAAGTTTTGTAATCAGGAAATATAACAACATTAACATAACTGAAATATCCAGGGATATG